ATCCACGTGTCCTACGCAACCACTCTCAAGACAGAGGTTGAACGTCTCTGCACGGCAGGAGTACTCAAGAAGGTGAATCTTTCCGAGTGGGCGGCACCAATTTTTATCATTCCCAAGAAAAAAGGATCTGTACGATTCATCTCTGAATTCCGGGACATGCTCTTGAATCTAGATGGATTCAAGTCTAGACCTGAACGTGAGACACTATCACATCGAACTGTCAACAGCTGTACTCGAAACAACACTTAAATACCACCGTACTCCCGAGGGGAAAGCACAAGTACCAGGCAGAGGTTGGCAATGGGCCTATGTAATAGTCCCGACATCTTCAAAAGGAAGATGAAAACACACATGCATGACTTAGACAATGTCCGTGCAATGACATGGATGATCAACTCATCCTAACTAACAACGATCTGGTAGATCACGTTGAACATAGTTAAATGAATTTTTCCAAAGACTTCAAGAAGTCGGGGTTAAAAATCAACACTACCAAGGCTTTCCTCGAAAGGAAGAACTTGAGTACCTAGACCATTGGACTACTAGAGAAGGAATCCAACCCTTAACTAAAAGGATAATAGAGGCGATCCAGCTATCGCTCCTCCTACGCACAAGAAGGAACTTCGTGAATTCATTGGACCAATAAACTACCAAGGTCTGCTCAAAGACAGCAGACGTAGTAAACATCGTTCTGAAGCAGACGTGGGTTACCCAGTGTCCATGACAAACCGAGGTTGTCTATGGACAGCACGTGAGTTCTGCGCAGAGGTCGGAAAGACTCTCCGGGATGAACATAGGCTTCGTCGCAAAGGTTTTCACGCGCGTCAATCGTGACAAGATTCACAACATCCGTTTCAAAGCAACACGGAAATACATCAAGGAGACGTGACCGTCGCCAGCGACTTATCCAGAAACCAACGATAGGGAGGACGCGACACGTGTCCCTCATCCCACCATGTCAACGATTACTAATGTGATTCATCAGTAATCCGCGCACCGCTCAATAAGTGAAAAAATCAGGTCAGCCAAGCACAAAGGTCCTTACCAACCAGACCGAGTCAATAAAAACGGCACTGTACGGCTCCGAACTACTACCGCCAATAGCGGCAAGTACTACAGACCTTGATAGCATACAGGTATTTACACCCATAAAGGCCTGATGCCCCTTGTAGGATTGCCATTCTGCGACGCACATTGTCTACATCCAATCTCCGGAGAGTGCCCCGCACTTTAATCATATGTTCTCCTTTTCGACTGATGTCTCGCCTTCCGTGACCCTTGTCAGGGGCGAATGCAATACACGGCTCTTGCCCTTATTCGCGACTCGATAATAGATAGGGATTGAGTTCAACTCATGACTGAGTCTCTCGTGAATTGTTATTGAGACAGGGTTCACATGACCGCTAGTCATACTAGGTCGATGGTGAAAACTCGGCGCTCGATATTTAGCTAGCGTGGAGAGATTACACGATACTAGATAAATGCTGACGAATCTTCCACGTGTTACGTTTTTGGATCGTGGGATGAGTAGGATTGCGATCGCAACCTACTCTATCACACTGCACAGTCTCCGCGGGGGTTCAGATCTACGATCCTGTTGTTGTGGATCTCTCTCGTTGACTAGTTTTCATCGCTTTCTTATCCTCTCATAACTTTCATTCTGCTCAAACTCAAAAACACTCGAAAGTTCTTTACACTATCTTTTAGCGTAGTGGCATGCGTGCAGTGAGGCTTGTCGCCCCGGAGAACTCCAGAAGCTGCACGAACGATACGGGGACAGCAAGCAACTCAAAAGGTTGCGTGGGCCAACTGTGAGCAAGGGGGATACACTCCTTGCCGAGGAAGAGCAGTCAATGCTCTTCACGAGCTGCGAGAGGAAGCTTGCGACGGTAGAGTGCTGATGTTGCGTGTCGCAGATCCAAACGAGAAGAAGAAGGAAGAGCAGGAAAGAAGAGAAGATGTACTGGAAGGCTTGGTCGGTTGGTCGCAACAGAAGACTTCATTCTATTGTTCAGGATGCAAGAACTACCTTTGCTTTGGAACTGCCATGACAGCAAAGAAGGCCTCGCAGATTGACGCAGAGACTGGAGATGGTGAACGCCCCAAGGAGCTCATTCGAGTGCCGTTCTTTGACAAAAAGAACAAGGAATGGAGGCATTTCTTTGCCTCCAACAGCTGCTATTTTATCCAACACAAAGATACGTTCGATAGCAAAGATTGGACCTATGAAGTTGAACACGATTCGGACGCAGACGACGGCAACTAGGTATGAGAGGTTGTCCCATGGAAAAGAAGGCTCGTTCATTGTCTAGCTTCTTATACAATAGCTAGCTTTTAATCACAATAAAGTTTTGTATTCAAACTGTCAAACTGTTGGCAAAGTGCAGGGCCGCAAAGAGGCGCTCGCCAGCTTCGATCGCAGCATCCTTCAGTCCAACCGGCACTGGAATAGTAATCTGAACACGCCTCATACCATCAGGGTTGTCCTCGGGCAGATCGATCATGAAACACGCTCAGGAAAACCTTTTTGTCCGGTATCGTTGGCCATGCTTTTTTCTTTGCTTTTGTTCACCTTCCAAGGCATCAAAACTGACCGCAAGGGAATGCTATCACGAATCTCAAAAGCTTTCTTGCCGTTGCTATCTATAGCTCTGCCATTGTATGCAATCCGAAAGATGCCAGTGTCGGGAATGCGCTCAACTGCAAGGGAATCCGCTCGGACCCAATAGGAGCCATTAGCGTCGGCCCATCAGAGGGAGATGTCACCATCCACTCCAATGCCGACGCCCTTCAAGTCATGCAAAGCAACAAAGTTCATCGTGAAAGCGAATTGTGGTTTTAAGAGTGGCCTGGCTTGGCTTGGCTTGGCTCTATCATGTGGCAATAGCACGAGCAACCTCGTATTTAAATTCAAATCTTCTTCTTTCCATCAAAACCTGACGCATTGCTCGGAGTCCGCCCTTTTCTGCCTCATCACCTGCCTCTTCCATTATCCTCTCATTATTCGAGCGACCAGCCAACCAAACTATTAGTTGCCCAGCCCAGCCCAGCCCAGCCATGTCTGCTCTTGCCGTTGTTGCCACCGTCGATCCCAAGTCCATCAAAGCTGTCGATGATACCACCATTATCTTCCATCCTACTGGAGCAGGATCTCTTGGGGGGGGACCTCTCTTAACCATGAACTTTGAGTCCAAAGAAGCCATGATGGCTCTTGCAGAGGCCATTGGCGGGCACTTCCTCGGTGGCAAGCAGAAGGAGGTGATTGTTGTTGATTCGGACGAGGAATCTGTCGAGGACAAGAAGACTGCTGGAGCCTGCTGTCGAAGATTCCGGCTCTGAGACTGAGTTTGAGGATTCTGAAGTGGATGAGGTGATCAAGGAAGTTCCTCGTCGCGGTCGCTATGGCACCAAGAAGGGCTATGGCACCAAGAAGAGCATCAAGACGTGTCCGACTGCACCCCGTGATTCATCAATTCCATTCGATTCTTGGGAAGAACCACGGATTGACCCAGGGTTTGTCTCTAGAAGGCTTCCATAGTGACCTGTAATCAAGTTAATGATAGTAGCACCTTATTATATGTCATTGTTACGGCTCTACCGCTCGGTAAAGCCGCCATTGTCGCCTGCTTTTTTGTTACGATTTTGAATCCCTCACGAGGGATTGAGCTTCCACGAAAGGGATTTAAAATTTTTGAATCCCGCATGTGACGCTTATTCGTGCTTATGGATATTATTGGCAGCATAACTTCGAACAGGACAGCATTCTGCTACAACTGTTGCATTAACAACCATTACTCAACAACGACACCTGCTCTGAAGCTTGCGCTTTCAGCTGCGCCATTTAAGTCAGCGGGAGCTGCGATACCTCGGCAGAAAGATAAATAGAAGAAAGAGGATCATGTTTGAAATTGCACCCTTCTTTCAAGGTAGCCCTGGTGACAACCACCCGACTTCGTCGTGTGTTGCCGCCGGTATCATTATTCCCTCATTATAACCTTCTTTTTTATGAACTAGCCCTGCGACACCCGACTATCGTCGTGGTTGCCGCCCGCTAACCATAATTTACAGCTGTCATCCCGTATGTACCTGTAACTTTTGTAGCTTCTTGCTGGCTTATTGTGTTGATTGCACTAACCTTAATTCATGATTTATTTCTACCCCTAAATTTGTAGATACTTCAATTTTCCAGTTTGTTGGCTTACACTATCTCTATCCCTATATTTGATTTGCTTCACCGGATTAGAATTAGGAAGATAGGAAATGAAAATAGAAAAAGAAAATAGAAAATAGGAAATAATAATAGGAAATACCGAAAAAAGGGTAGAGGGCTCGAGGCAGATAGAATTGCCGAGGTAACGCTATTTTAGATGCGTCGCTTCGTCACTGCTGCTACAACTGTTGCATTAAGGAGGTACCACTCCGCTTTGAGTCAGAGTCGGGATTCACAGCCAATTTTACTCGAAAAATCGCTGACAGAACAACAACAATTAGCAATTTGTTTGCTCTTTGGGAATTGGCTAGTCGCTCTGTCCCTACCTTCATATTTGACAGTACATACCATGTAGTTAAATCTTCGAAACATAGCTGTTAAGAAGGAGCGACTTGGCTAAACAGTTGCAGGGGCTCCGGTCGATAGGTCTCAGTAGCAGCAGACTTAGCGGTCGATTTTCGACCAATTTCAGAGTTAACACTGAACTAAACAGTCTAAGCCCCAGCGACTCTCCAACTCGACGGGGTACTCTTGTTTGTTATATTATAAGTACTCTTTGTATTGGTCAAAGCCTTATTAACAGAGGTCTTTATTCTACTCAACTAATCAGTCCAATTCAGCGATCCAAATTGTTTTTTGTTGTTGTTGTCGCTATTTTACTTGTTAATCCCAACTCATGACTAAAAGAGGGTGGTACCTCCTTAACAACCATTACTCAACAACGACATCTTCTCTGAAGCTTGCGCTTTGAGTACTGTAGTCCGTCTCGCTCCTTGGCAGCTACGCTCGCATGTTTCAGCGTCTGTTTCTTTCAATCACGCGGTCACATGCAGCGGTGAAAGATAACCGACAACAATTGAGCAACAATGGCAAGCCTTACACCAAAACACCGCGTCAAGAAGAGCAACGGCGACCCTATATGCCGCCATCAGCAAAGTCAGCAAACAGTGACACCAAAGCGTCCAGCAACGCCACTTTGGCCAGCTGCACAACTTCCGTGACTGAAAGCAGTGCAGAGGCGTCAACCGCGGAAACCTTTCCCGTTCCGCTGCCGCCGATGGAAGGAGGTGAAGGAGAAGAAGAAGAGGAGGAAGAGAAGAGTTCACAGCAGCAGGGACTCCCAGACGAAATCAAGAATCGGAAGTATTTGGACAAGCACGGGAATCTGTTGGAAGTGGAGCTGCTCAAAGATATTGAGGAGTTCGGGCTCGAAGACCGCGACATTGATCTGAACAGCGACGGAATCGCCCACTGGAGACTGGCTCCATCACGCATGCATCAAGAAGCCGTCAGGGCAATCGATTACCGTGTCACCGTCTCCCAAGGCGAGGAGAACGACCGTCTCCGTACTGATCAAGGGTTCTCTGTCCTTATCAACCTTCGGGGTGTTGAGCGGGACCCTGATTTGGCCGTTTGGGGAAAGGACCACATAACAACAGGTTCCTTTGGTCATGCACTACGCTAAACTAGTGTAAAGTTTTCGAGTGTTTTGAGTTTGAGAGAATGAAAGTTATGAGAGGATAGAAAGCTCTGAAAATCATCACGAGAGAGATTCCACAATCAAAGGATCGTAGATCTGAACTCCGCGGGAGACTGTAAAGAAGTGTGATAGAGTAGG